TGCAGCGAGGAGAAGGCTGGAGGCAGTGGAGATGTCATGTCTGAGGGCAATGTGTGGTGTGAATATAATGCAGAGAATTCGTAGTTTGGAAGTTAGGAGGAGGTGCGGGATTACCAAAACTGTTGTCCAGAGGGCTGAGGAAGGGTTGTTGAGGTGGTTCGGACATGTAGAGAGAATGGAGCGAAACAGAGTGACTTCAAGAGTGTATCAGTCTGTAGTGGAAGGAAGGCGGGGTAGGGGTCGGCCTAGGAAGGGTTGGAGGGAGGGGGTAAAGGAGGTTTTGTGTGCGAGGGGCTTGGACTTCCAGCAGGCATGCGTGAGCGTGTTTGATAGGAGTGAATGGAGACAAATGGTTTTTAATACTTGACGTGCTGTTGGAGTGTGAGCAAAGTAACATTTATGAAGGGATTCAGGGAAACCGGCAGGCCGGACTTGAGTCCTGGAGATGGGAAGTACAGTGCCTGCACTCTGAAGGAGGGGTGTTAATGTTGCAGTTTAAAAACTGTAGTGTAAAGCACCCTTCTGGCAAGACAGTGATGGAGTGAATGATGGTGAAAGTTTTTCTTTTTCGGGCCACCCTGCCTTGGTGGGAATCGGCCAGTGTGATAATAAAAAAAAATAATAATAGTACGTCTTACGACCCAGGGTTTTTGACGTACTAGTATGCCTAAATTCTAGCGTCCTCAAATCTAGTGAGAGAAAGCTGGTAGGCCTACATATGTAAGAATGGGTCTATGTGGTCAGTGTGCACAGTATAAAAAAAATCCTGCAGCACACAGTGCGTAATGAGAAAAAAAAAAACTCTGACCGTGTTTTTGGATTAAAACAGCAACTTTGCACTGTATTTTCGTATGGTATTTATTGTTGTACAGTGGACCCCCGGTATACGATATTAATCCGTTCCTGAGAGCTCATCGTATGCCAAAATTATCGGAAGGCGAATTAATTTTCCTCATAAGAAATAATGGAAATCAAATTAATCCGTGCAAGACACCCAAAAGTACCATGAAAAAAAAAGTTTTACCACATGAAATATTAAGTTTAATGCACACAAACTGAAGAAGACATGCACAGTTAGTAGTACTCTACTAACAATAGAATACATGACACTTACCTTTAATGAAGATCTGGTGATGATTGATGGGATGGGAGGAGGGGAGAGTGTCGAACTTATTGTTTAGAAGGGGAATCCCCTTCCATTAGGACTTGAGGTAGCAAGTCCTTTTCCGGGGTTACTTCCCTTCTTCTTTTAATGCCACTAGGACCAGCATGAGAGTCACTGGACCTCTATCGCACAACAAATCTGTCCATAGACCTCTGTACCTCCCGTTCCTTTACGATTTGTCTAAAATGGGCCACAACATTGTCATTGTAATAGTCACCAATATGGCTTACAATAGCTGTGTTAGGGTGATTTTCATCCATAAAGGTTGGCACTTCAACCCACTTTGCACACATTTCCTTAATTTCTGAGGTAGGCACAATGGATTCCACAACTGGCATAAGCTTCTCAGGGTTGGCCCCAAACCCTTTAAAATCTTTCTTAATTTCCATACCAATTCTCACCCTTTTTACCACAGGGTTGGCACCAGAAGCTTTCTTGGGGCCCATGGTGACTTATTTTGCAGAAACAAGCACCAAAAACACTGTGATAATATGGAATGTACCGAATGTATGCTTAGATGCGAGCACACTGGCTGCCTTGGAAACACTGGCACTCACATGGACGCGTCCCGGACGAATCACGTGTGGTGGTTTTTTTAACGAGTGGCGAGACAAAATTTTGGCGTTAAAATGTATCGAATACCAAATTTAACGTATACCGATGCCATCGAATACCGGGGGTCCACTGTATTCTATTTTCTTGGTCTCATTTTATAGAATGGAAGACATATTACAGAAATTGAGATGATTCTGACTGGTTTTACAATGAAAAGTACCTTGAAATTGATATCAAAGTAGCGGAAATGTTTGATTTTTACCAAAGTTCAAAAGTTAACAAATCATGCCAAGCGTCCAATACACGTCAACTGGTGAGTCTAATATTCTTTCGCAAGTGCGCCAATATTATTTATACTATTTTTTACACTAATGCAGTAGTCTGCATAACAGTAAATCTTCTATTTTTTGTGAGAATAAAAATTCAAAGTGGAAAGCAAAAGAATGTAAGAGGGGCCTTGAGACGTGACTAATGAACAGAGGAAATGTCATTTTAGTGCCAGGAATGTCTTTCTTGTTTATTCTGGACCCTATTCAGAAATTGGCATCTTTTGAAATTTGTGTGAAATTGGCAAAATTGCTAAATTCTGACCACTTTATTGGATAGTTGAAATTGGTAAATGGGTGGTTTCTTGCACTCATTCGATAGAAAAAAATGGAGTTCTAGCGAAATATTCATGTTTTTTGTCGACTAGTATAGTGGAATTGGCCGAAAATGGGGCACAAAGTGGGCAAAATCGCCGATGCATAAACATCGCCGAGACCGCTAACTTCGCGAGAGCATAATTCCATAAGTTTTCCATCAAATTTCATACTTTTGGTGTTATTATGATCGGGAAAAGATTCTCTATCTTTTCATAAGAATTTTTTTTTTTTTAAATTTGGCCGACCCTGAGAACGAGTCTCGGAGAGGGCCTGTCGACCCTCAAAGGGTTAAATATCATATAGCTATGTAGCCCAGGCTACCTACTGGCAACCTACATCTACCAGCTACCAACACCTGACTTCCTACAAATAACTACTACTCACCTCTCATCCTACATTAAGACTACACATATTTTAAGGTACTGTATGTGTATTTTATCTCTCTGTTTTAAATATCGTATATTAATTAAGTTTGGGAGGGGGAAGCCAGGGCTACCTACACCTGACTTCTTATAAATAAGTACAAGGGTAGAGCACGGTGTTGCGGCTCATTTTGACTCATACAAGTTCTAGCACACGAGTCATATTCCAAACGAAGGTCATATACCAAGCAAAAAATTTTTGTGTCCACACATGACGTATACCAAATTGAACTTATTCCAAAGCAGACGTATACCGAGGTACCACTGTATTTTTAAATGTTTATACAGTAGTGTATTGTATACTGTAATAAACAGAACAGAGTAAATCAGCTCTAATATACATTACTTAGGTCTGCATACTGGTTGGAAAGCTGGTTGTAAATCTGAGCAATCAGTAAACAAGTATGTACGTTGCTAAGTGAGGAGAGGCTGTAATCAATTACTCTGGTCAAAAGTCACGTCAGACAGTTCTGATTCATGTTCATTTACATAAGTTTATATTTTTACAGTTGTCTTGTATAGTAAGATATGTAGTCATATTATGTCAGACAATATCAACAGGTTGATGAGTAAGACCAATGTGCAACGTTATTTTCACTATTGAGGATAAGGATACCTAGGTGTTGCACATGAGCAAAGTTTGCAAGATAGATCAATAAAGTCAAACAATGTGACTTATTTCCATTGGGGTCCTTGTACTACATATTACACAAACGTGAATATTTTTTTTAACACGCCAGCCATGTCCCACCAAGGGAGGGTGATCCGAAAAAGAAACAAAGTTTTTGTTCTTTTTACATATAATAACTTATACAGGAGAGGAGGTTACTAGCCCCTTAGTCCTGACATATCAGTCGCCTCTTACAACATGTGATGAGCCTGGCCCATGGCCGGGCTCCGAGAGTAATGAAACTCTCGAAACTCTTCAAAGGTATGCATGGCTTATGGAGAAAGAATTCTTCTTCACTTCCCCATTCAAAAACATGAATATATCAATTATAATTACTATTAATAATAAAATGTAATACAAAAATAATGTATCAATTACACAAAATTTATTTACATAAATATTTAAATGAATATCTTGCAAAGTGCATCACTTAATTGAATGCCGTAAGACCAATAACTTACAATTATATCACTGCCCTATATATGAGAAACAAAAAAGATACAAAAGACATATAGCATTAAACATATAATACAAATTAGGAGAGTGAAGTTGTGCCACCTTGTCCCCCCCCCCCTTGCTTTCCTCCCTTTTATATTTAGGGAGAAGTGCTAAACCTGTATGGGTCATACAGCACCTCTGCCATCACATACTCCCTTAACTATCTACTACAATAGAGTCGTTAAGACTGAACATAATATGTTCACCACCAGTCAAGGAAATTGATAGATCTAAAATAGTGATTAATATAAACTCTCAGTATATATACACTGAGACACATATACCTGTGTGTATATCCTCCTCTCAGTATATATACACTGAGACACATGTACCTGTGTGTATATCCTCCTCTCAGTATATATACACTGAGACACATATACCTGTGTGTATATCCTCCTCTCAGTATATATACACTGAGACACATGTACCTGTGTGTATATCCTCCTCTCAGTATATATACAGAGACACATATACCTGTGTGTATATCCTCCTCTCAGTATATATACACTGAGACACATATACCTGTGTGTATATCCACCTCTCAGTATATATACACTGAGACACATATACCTGTGTGTATATCCTCCTCTCAGTATATATAAGTACATCCTGTTCATAACTATTAAGCTTCCTAGAGAAGGAATTTTGTGATTTCTTACCTAGCTAATATTCTTGTATTACTACAACCAAAAACTAAGCGCTAAACCCACAAGGTTCATACATCAGTGTAATTCTTATATTTTTGTTTACAATGGTCGTGTAATTCTCATCTACTTCAGTTATTCACTGTATTTAGTTCCTATTGTATCTATTCTTGGTGTAAATCATATTTATGCAGTTGATTGCGTTTCATTCTTAGTGTTAATAATCAAGTAACTAAATAATTAACTTGCTAAAACTATTTCAAAGACCTCAATGGAAAAAAAGGTCACTGTCCGACCTTTTTTTTTGGGGGTTACCTTTGATTTACCCGTAGTCTTGGTAATTTATGTATATTTTAGCAGGTAAGACAACTAGAATCGTTCAAATACTGAGTAAATTTCTACCTAAATCAGTTTAATGTTGTGTAGTTGCTAGAGACGTGAGAAAGAAGCTTCTTGTTGGTGTTGACGTTGTTAAGGTTCTCTCTTTGTTGGGTTTATCAGGGCCACTCACACCATGAGCTGTATCCTGCCACACTTCTCCATGGTACGACGATTTTTTTTTTTTTGGCCCAAGGTTGGGCGATGAGAGTAAAGGAACATAAGTTCCTTTGTAAATAGAAACTTAAGTTTCCAATTAGATTCGGTGGACTACCTTGCCAAGCCCCAGCAGAGAGGGACGCCCACACTCCCACCTGAGTTCAGTAACCGGCTTCCCACCAAACACGTATTTATTTATTTATTTATTTATTTCCAATTTGTGCACACATACAGAGGTACAAAAAAAAAATACAGATAAGAGCAGTATGCCAAAGCCACTTATACTATGCATAGCATTACGGGCTGGCTTAAAATTAACTTAAGACTAACTAAGCAATGATTATTATTATTATTATAATCAAGAAGAAGCGCTAAGCCACAAGGACTATACAGCGCTGCTACTAAGCAATGATGAAATCAGTGATAAAACATTAATGTAAACAGATAACTATAAAGCACAAGTGAGTATTACAAAGACAGGTCATATGGTTGCATTCAGTTAGGTAGTGATTCTGTTAGGTAGTGTATTTAAAAAATAATAAAGTTAGATTGGGTTTTAGGTTTAAAACATTTATGTGATATAATTGTGAGAAACATTTAAGATATAAAATTTAAATAATGTTCAGTTATTCAGTATTTATTTGGTTTTGGGTGAGTAAGTAATCTTTGAGAAGAGACTTGAATTTATAAACAGGTTGTGTTTCTTTTATATTTACAGGTAATGAATTCCAGATTTTAGGGCCTTTTATGTGCATTGAGTTTTTGCATAGTGTGAGATGGACACGAGGAACATCAAAGAGTGATCTGTGCCTTGTGTTATGGTCATGTGTTCTGTTGAGGTTGGCAAGGAGATGTTTGAGGGGAGGGTTAATATCAGAGTTAAGTGTTCTATGTATGTAATAGGTGCAGTATAAGTATGGATGTTTTGTATGGTGAGTAGGTTTAGTGTATTGAATATTGGTGGAGTGTGCTGCCTGTTAGTGAGAATTTGTTATCATTCTAACTGCAGCCTTTTGTTGGGTAATTAGTGGTCTGAGATGGTTAATTGTTGTTGAGCCCCATGCACAAATTCCATAGGTGAGATAGGGGTAAATAAGAGAGTGATATAGGGCCAGGAGGGCTGACTGTGGAACATAGTACCGTATCTTCGATAGTATGCCTACAGTCTTGGAAATTTTCTTAGAAATTTGATGTATATGTGTATGAAATTTGAGTCTATTATCAAGGTGGATTCTAAGAATTTTCCCTCTGTTAGTTTTGTGATAGGTGATCCATTTATCATTATGTTAAGAGGGACATCTGTAGCTCTGTTACCAAACTGAATGAAGTAGGTTTTGTCAATGTTTAGTGTAAGTTTGTTAGTCCTACATCCAGGTAGATATTTTCTGTAATTCGGTATTTAGTATTGGCTAGCGTGACTGGGCTCGGGTGAGAGAAGACGTATGTAGTGTCATCTGCAAATAGTGTGGGTTTGAGTAATTGCGAAGCATTTGGAAGGTCATTTATGTATAGGAGAAAGAGAAGAGGGCCAAGGACACTTCCTGTGGGACACCAACTGTAATTGGTTGTGCAGAAGAGTTTGCCCCATTTGCGTACACATATTGGCTTCTGTTGCTGAGGTAAGACTTGAGGTAGTTGAGGGGGAAAGTGCCCTCTTATACCATAGTGTGACAATTTTACGTGGAGCAAGTCATGGTCAACTGTATCAAAAGCTTTACGTAAGTCAATGAAGACCCCCAGTGGGACTTCTTTTTTCTCTATTGCAGTGTATTATGTTCTAGCATGTGTATAATAGCATCATTAGTATTTTTATTAGGCCTGAATCCAAATTGGCAGGGGTTGAGTATGTTTTGGGAGATAAGGTAGGGTAGATTCGTTTATGAAATAATTTTTCAAAGATTTTTGAGAGAGGGTGTAAGTTGGATATTGGCCTATAGTTATTCAACTCTGTTTGGTCTCCTCCTTTGTGGATCGGGGTGACCCTTGCTATTTTGAGTACTGTAGGGAAGGTGGAGGATTCAATGGATTTGTTAAAGAGTGTTGCAATGATGGTGATAGCACTTGTGACACTTTTTTGTATATAAGGGGTGGTAAGGTATTTAAATCTCCTGCCTTGTTTTTTAGTGCGTTGATAATAAGGGAGACTTCGTATGGGTTAGTCGGAGCTAGGAACAGTGTGTTCGGGTAGTTGCCGGTGAGGTAGTCATTTGGTGGGGTATCTGAGCTTGGGATTTTATTGGCAAGGTTTTGTCCTATAGTGGAGAAAGAAATCATTGAGTCTGTTTGCTGTTTCTGTTGGTGGGAGTTGGGGTTCATCTGTTTTTGCTAATTTTATTTCGCTATTTCGTGATATCTTTTTGTTCCCAGAATTTCTGATAGGGTTTTCCAGGTCTTTTTTTATATCACCTCGTTAAGTTGGATAATCTGTTCTCATAATACAATTTTTTTGCCCTTTTATCAGGCTGGTTAGGATTGACGAGTAACGTTTTGTTTGGTCTCTGGTTATGTGACCCATTCTGTACTGTTTTTCATATTGGTGTTTTGTATTTATGGATTTGAGGATGCTGGGTGTTAGCCAGGGACTGTTCAGTCTCTTTGCTGTCATCTGTTTAGTTTTTTTAGGGCAGTGCTTGTTTATAGAGGTATTGGGTTTTTTTTAGAAAATTATTAATACATTCGTCAATATCTGTATAGGTTTCTAGCTCAGTGTGCCAATCAATGTTTGCTATTGCTGTTTTTGAAGTTATTAATGGCTGCCTCATTGTGAAGTCTGAAGGTGACTTTAGTAGTGTCTTGGGGTAGTTTACCAAGAGTTGTTATGAGGAAAGTAGGGTAGTGGTCTGTGGTATTATCTGTAATTATGCCTGATTTTAAAGGGGATATGGTGTTGGTCCAGATGTGGTCAAGTAGGGAAACACTAGTCTCTGTAACTCTTGTAGGTTTTGTTACTGTTGGTAGTATACATACAGTTACTCATTGTGTTTGTGAATTCAGTAACGTGTGGGTCCTGGTCTTGCAGGAGATTTATATTGAAGTCACCTGAGAGTAGTAAGTGATCTTTGTTCATGCGTGCATCAGTTATCATACTTCCTAGATTTTGACTAAATTGGCTAATGTTTGACTGTGGAACTCTGTAGATGTTTATCAATGTGAGAGGTTTTTGTAGGTACTTTGATTTGAATTTAGCTATTATATATTCCCCATGTTCATCCCTTGTGCAAGTATTAGTGATACATTCTAGTTGGTTGAGTAGTATATGGCTGTGCCACCCCCTTGTTGATCTGGCCTGCAGTTGTGTATGGCTGTGTAACCAGGAATGGCATAGACATCTGTACTATCAGGCTTTAGCCAGGTTTCAGTTAGTGTAATGATGGACATATTGGCATGTAAGGAATTTAGTAATGCTATGAGGTCATCGTAATGCTTGCTTAAAGATCTGATATTGTAGTTAAATATAGTTATGTTGTTGTTGGCACTGAGAAGTGCCTTTGATTGTTCTGCAGTGTTAGTAATTACAGTTACTGTTTGATTCATTTAAGTCATTAAATAAGAGGTTGGTATCAGGATCAATGCTTGTAATCATAAGATTTGTAGTGAATCTATAGTTTGAATTAAGTATAAAACAAAGTAAATAGTCTTTTAAACTAAAAAATAGCACCTGGATTATTTAACAAATGTAAAATAATGAGCTAAGGGACTAATACAAATAAAGTGATGATCAAATAGTGGAGCTTGGGAATATGATAGTAGATAGTACTATAAAGGTAATTTTTTAAAGTTAGAATTATAGTATAAAATTATAATATAAAAGGGACTAATATAGGTTGTGGTGACGATAAAGTGGTAATCAAAAAAATGAGCTTTGGAATATAATGGCAAAATTGTGAACTTATTCTACTTTAGCACCTAAGAATAGCACCTTGATTATTTTAACAATTGTGAATATATAAACTAGGATAGTTATATAAAGCTAAAATAAAGGAGAAAACATATAAGGGACTAAAATTAAGTAATGGTAAGCAAAGTTAAATGGGCAGATGGTAGGAATTATAATATAAAAATTATAATATAAAAATACAATTTGAAATGGTACTTGCAATTGCACTAGAGTCTGGTATAGGTTGTTGACAAGATCAAGATTATACCTAGATTTAAATTGACAAAATAAAATTCACAATTAAAGTACCAAAAGAATAATAGTAAAAAAAATAACAATGGTAATGTCTTGATTATAATATGATAGTAAGAGGGTAGACAGGTACACAGGTACAAGGGATAATATAAAGGTTGGGGTTGAAAATAAAAACTTGAAAATTTGGCTACAAAATGTTATGAGAAGTATAAAATAATGTTTAATGTAAAAAATTAAAATTGACTGGTAGTAAATATGGTGTTTAATAAAATTTTAGTAAGTAATAAAGAACTATCCGCGGAGCGGAAAAAATGGAGCTGGCTAAAAGTAAGCTGATGAACAGGTGCCCCTCCTGTAGACTGCCTGGCGGGCAAAATAGATGAGGACAAGCGTCCCAGTGAGAACGGGGGAAACTTGTCACTGATACTCAGGCGAGAGAGAAACGTTCACACCCGACAAAGGCTGGCGCAGAAGTCCGTTGTTAAAGGTTACTAAAGCTTACTCCAACTGCTGCTTCTTGTGGGATTTTAGGGCCACTGACAACTTACACCATATCCAGCTCTGTTGTCCAGTGTCTGGGGGCTCATTTTTAAGATCCGTGACAACTTACATACCCTATCGAGCCCTGTTATCCTATGCCTTCAAGAGGGAGCTGGACAGATACTTAAAATCGGTGCCGGATCAGCCGGGCTGTGGTTCCTACGTTGGACTACGTGCGACCAGCAGTAACAGCCTGGTTGTTCATGGCCTGATCCACTGGGAGGCCTGGTCAAGGACCGGGCCGCGGGGGCGTTGATCCCCGGAATACCCTCCAGTAGAGCCTCGTGTTGGTTTCTAGGGTCAGTGACAGCTTGGGCGGTATCGAGCCCTGTTACCCGATGTCCGGGGACTTTCAATAACCCTCCTCTCTGTGATAAACATATTGGTTAAACGGAAAAAGAAACTGTAGTTCCCAATTATGTCAGGTTGACCGCCTTACCTAAACTCCAGAGGAGCTAGACACTTTTATGCAAGTACTAATATAAGAGATCTTTA